GGGCAATTGGCCTTATTAATCATGTAACAAGCACCTTAAATCAATCTTTTCATATACTTTTTTTTTTAAATTCAGTACATTTTAGACCAAGGAGTGAAATTCACTTGTGTAGTGTGCTAGTCCTTGAGAGGGCACAGAGGTAGTCAAAAAAAGACTAACATCCATTTCTATTAATAAATCTTTGATAATCTAGTTAGAAGTCATCATCAGATTCAAGTGAAGAGTTACTCCATAGTTGAATGAAGTAAGTCTGTTTTGTGAAAACTGATTGGTCAGTTTTGTTACAATGCGATTGGCTGTAAGACTTGAGTAGCATTTGTTGGTTATGATTGGTACTATTCAGGACTATTGTCAGCTAGATTATCACACCAGATAACTGTAATTGTAATAATGTGCTTAAGTTGTTGGGGATAGTCAATAGCATCCCTTACCAGTCTGTGATGCTAAATTAAAGAACTTGATGGCCATCTTATAGTCGCGCCTCACACCAAGTCCATCTGCAATGAACAATAACCCGGTTGGAGCGAGAGACAGATGGTTTGACTCATTACATTGGGGTGGCAAGGTTTTAGAGAAGCCAGCGATGAGTACCAGTATTCCCAACCAAATATTTTAAGGATAACACAGTTAGATTTCAGCAACACAAAGAAAGAAACCAACTTTAGGAAAGAACTTACGGTAATACAGTGTTCCCATTTGGAGATGTCCATCAACCCAACCTTGCTCAGCAGCCAGTTTGAAGTATTGGAAGGCTTTCTCATAGTCCTGTTAAATTTAACGCAAAGGCAAGCTTCCAATCATTAATCTCAAAATTGGCTGATCTGTGTTGACAGAAACTTTTATTCAGACATATTCTCCTTCTTGCTCTATGGACTCAACAAAAAAGTGACAATCTTAGTTCACTCACCTTCTTCACCCCTTTCCCAAACATGTACATCAAACCCAAGCCACTTTGGCCAATAGCATTACCCTGCAGCCATAACAAAAGGAAACAAGAATAAGAAAGTTCTCATTTGTAGAGATCTGGAAGCCTCACAAACACATCACCTTTCAGGTATTATTATTCACTTACAGCATCTGCAGCTTTTTTGAACCACTGGAAGGCTGTCTCATTGTCTTGCTTGACAGCAGTACTTCCCTCGGAATACATCTGAAAAATACAAGTGATTTGGTGATTTACATCTACATTGCTGCAAGTAGAAAATGAAACTTCCATTGGCATTGAGCTCTCCTTAGATAAGATGCTAACCAGTTATAAGTATATTGTCCATTATGGTAATCATCTCCACACAGGTTATTTTGGCCAACGTTAATGCTAGCAGTGTGCACAGTGATAGTCACATATGAAAAATCAGGTTCCCTCAGCAATAAACCATGCAACTAAAAACTTAGAACTGGTTTGAGTTTCACAAGGCATGAGGGACTTAGATTGATTCACACTCCTGCTTAACTTCCACAACTTACCTTATTACAGTACAATAGATGGTGTATCATATTCCAGTAAAAATTTGCCTACTTGCCTCTTTAATTCTCATGGAGAGTGTATCGTAGGTGCATAAAAACAAAGATGAGGTTATAACATTGTGTACGTTGAGATCACAATATCTGATATTAACTGCATGACTGTATACCTTTCCCAAGTAGGCCATGGCATTTGAATTTCCTGCATCAGCAGCTTGCTGGAGGTATCTGAAGGCTCTCTGAAGGTAAAAAACATTTTTTGGTTAATTCACCAAAAGCGTTTCATAATAAGTAACTTTAAGTTCAAAACGAAATGCCACATTTCAGAGAAAAATAATAAAGAAGAGTCTTACTGCATGATCTATTTCAACTCCGCGCCCTCCTTGGTAATGTAACTGACCAAGGCCAACCTACAGAAATGTTTTAAATACATTGTTCCTGAAATAATTATTGAATCAGAACAAATGCCTGGCCTTCATGAACCAAGGTGCAAGTAGCTACTGAAATGTGGAATACCAGACTTGCAGATATTTAGAGCCTTCTTATCAGCATGCCAACACAACTGCATGTATAAGGCAATGTTTATGTGTGGTGAAAATCAGCCAATAGAGACATTGATTTGTCTCAAAGGGCAGAAATAGAACAAAGCTTTGAGTACATACAATGAATCGTTACATTAATGCTGATTAGAAATATCCCTAACCTTGGGCAACCTGTGCTATTTTGCTTCAAAGATTAAGAATTTTCCTCTTAAACATTACACTGTACTCTTTCTACTATAATTCTTCATGAAAAACCTGCTTTCTGGCAGGAGAGTCCATGTGAAACATACCTGAGCCTGTACATCCCCTTTATCAGCAAGAAACTGGTAATACTGAATGAGGTCTTCATCTAGCACTGAGCTGCTTCCACCCTTAGAACATAAATATAAGTTGAGTGAGTTACCTCAGCGTTTTAGGGATTTGTCTCAGTCTGTCATTGTCTTAGTTTTCCTATCATCACGAGGGAGTGAAACATAGCAACTAAAAATCACTATTGACATTGCTGATCCTAGCTTGATGCAGGATGTGTGTCATATGAACTTTGTAATAGATCTTGAACTAACCATAGAGTCTCTGTGGCTCAGTGGTAGAGCATTGGAGCGTGGAATCCAAAGGTCTGAGGTTTGATTCCTCATGGGGACTCAGAATTTTTCCTCTGACCCACACTTTTGACAAGGCGAAAAATGTCTTTCTCTAAGAATCACTTATTTGAGCCACTTTGTTCATTGCCAACAACTCTCCCCCACACAAATACAAAACCAAATCAACCATAAACAAGAACTGTTTCTAATTGGGCAGTAAAACATATTCTGCATGCAATTCACCTGTTCTTCTTCATCTATAAGCCGTATTCTTTGAGTGGCAGCTCCACCAGTTAAGGAGACATCCTCTGCAACTATAAAAAAACTTCCTACATCAACACACGGTAGCTGCCTTGTGGTTACAACAGAACTTAAACTACAGCGATTTGATGGGATATTCACCTTCTAGATGGCATCAATTTTCCTGTGTTATATTTATAGAAATTACCCTCTGAATGATAGCTACAAGCATGTCCACCAACACTGTATTGAAATTGCTAAGAAAACTTAACGTACAACATAATCCCATCTGGGAGTGAAGGGTTAAATAGGACCTAAGTATATAGTTTGTCTACATAACATACCTTTGTTGGACACTCTGCGGTAATAAGTCAGTGCAGACTCACAATTAGCAGCTACTCCTATCCCTGCCCAGTAACGATAACCCTACAACAAAATAATATAGCAAAAAGAAAAACTCTTAAATTTCTGGTCACTATAAGTGACTTAACATAGTTTCTTATGAGCTGCTTCCTTGTCAACCTGAAATTTGGAGTATTTGTTTTAATTAGGAGGAAACCGAGAAGACCTGGAAAAATATGCTTGGAGTAAGAACAAGAACTATCCAAACGATTTAAAGATCAAACAATGGCCCCTGAAGTGGGAAGCAAGTGAACAAAACTTCTTGTTTCCAATCCCCTTGTTATTGTGTCTTCTTTGTGCTATTATCCTATTAAGAGGG